GCTGACCCTCCAGTGGATTTGCAGAGGCAGTAAACGGCTGCGAGTTGACTGCTCCCATGGAGCAGCTGGTGGATTTGAACCACATACCTTTGGGCTGGCAGTTAGCTCCTTATCACTAGACCACCGTGGCTCCCTCCGTGGAAATTACCCACACGGGAACTCTGTGCGGTAAGGTCTAACATCACATGAGGTCCCTACGGCTCAGAATACTCTCCACAGTAACCAGTAAATCTCTGTAGCTTTATAAAAAAGTCAGCTGACAGTCATCTTTTTGCATAGGACACTCAGGAAGCATTAAGACGGAAGTAGTACACAGAATCACAGTACAAAAAGAATAGGCTGACACGGAAGGATTTCAAGAAACAACATATGATCAAGAGGCAATGATGATCAAGGAGGAAGTGGAGGCTGCTCTGAAGGAATTGGTGAGAAATATGTCCCCAAGAATTGATGGACTACTAATTGACCTATTCCAACAAAGATGCTGCCTTAGATGTGCTCACCAAGTTGTGTCAAGAAATCTGGAGGACAACTCCTTGCCAACTGACTGCAAGATAACCCTATTTATTCCCATTGCAAAAAAAGGTGACCCAACAAGAGTATGGAAATTATTTAGCATATTACTAAAATCACACACTAGCAAAATCCTGCTGAAGATTATCCAGAAAACTTGAGCAGAACACTGACAGAGAACTACCGGAAATACAAGCTGGGTTTAGAAGAGGTCATGGCAATAGAGACATTACTGCCAATGTCAGATGGATCTTGGCAGAAAGCAGAGTACCAGAAGAATGTCTACCTGTGTTTCATTGACTATGCAAAGGCATCTGACTGTGTGGATCCCAATAAATCATGGCTAACCTTGAAGAAAATGGGAATCTCAGAACATTTGATCATGCTTATACAGAACCTATACTTGGACCAAGAAGCAGTCCTCAGAACACAGCAAGAAAACACTGGATGAATCTTGGCGGAAAGCAAAGAGTACCAGAGGGATATCTATCTGTGGTACATTGACTACGCAAAGACATTTAACTGTGTGGATCACAACAAAGTGTGGTTAACCTTGAGGAAAATGGGAATCTCAGAACACTTGGCTGTGTTCATACAAAACCTACACTTCGACAACAAAGTCCTCAGAACAGAGCTGCGAAACACTGCATGGTTCAAAATCAGGAAAGGAATGTGTGAGGGACACGTCCATACCTTTTCAATTCATAAACAAATGGAGGCTGGGCTTTATGAGGAGGAATGTGGCATTAGGAAAGGCAGAAGACTTATCAACAACCTTGCTTGGTGAAACTGAGGAGGACCTGAAGTGCTTGCTGAAGAAGGTCAAGGACCATAATCTTCAATATGGATTGAAGTTCAACATCAAGAAGACAAAGAATCTCACCACTGGACCAACTGGTAGCACCACAATGGAGAAGATACTGAAATTATTTATAGTTTTAGCTTGTGTGACATCAGCAGTCAGGAAATCAAAAGATGAATAGCACTGGGAAAATGTGCTGTCAGAGAGCTCTTCACAGTACTGAGAAGCAATGATGTCAGTCTAGAGACTAAGGTGTGCCTGATCCTGTCCATGGTCTTCACAGTTACTTGCTATGTTCAGAGAGCTGGACTAAAGATGACAGCAGAATCGATGCCTTTGAATTGTGGTGCTGGAGATGAGTCTTGAACACACCATGACAGCCAAGAGAACAAACAGGTCTGTCTTGGAAAGAGTGAAATCAAGTTTCTCCTTGGAGGCTAGGATTTTAAAGCTCTGTCTCACACACTTTGGGTACATGGCCAGGAAGGACAGGACCTTGGAGAAGGGCTTCATGCTCAGAAAGGTGGAGGGACAGCACAGGAGAGGTAGAACTGGATGAGATGGATTGATACAGTAACTGGGGCAACGGGGGTGTGTTGGAGACAGTGAAGACTGGCTCAGGACAGGGTAGGTGTCAGAGCTGTTGTACATTAAGGTTGCTATGAGTCACAGGCAACCCAACAACACATAAAAAATTCAGTTATATGACTTGTCTACAGAAAGCTGTGCTGTTAACCCAAAGGAGACGCCTCTCTTTCAGTCTGAATCCACAAGCAGATCCTGGGGAGAAAGGTGTGCTGTCTCCTCCAGGGCAAGTCACAACCTCAGAAAACCCACAGGGGGGTCAGCTGTGTGACTCGATGGCAGTGAGTCTGCAGTCTTTTAATGAAGGTAAGAGAGGAGCTCTGGTGGTCATCTGTCAGGAGGTGAGCTGCTAACTCAACGAGTTAGCACTTGGGCTGGGGCTGACTGTTAAGGATGAGCCTCTGGTGACCAACGGGAAGTTCACCGCGAGGAACAAGACGGAATCGGTTCCACCCAGGGCGTGGGAGCAGGCACAGCTCTGAGTGCTCTGCTGTCAGTGATCCAAGGCCTGGCGTTCTCCCCACCAGCACTTGGCTCTACTCAGAGGTTCGAGAACACGTACAGGTACCGTGAGCAGGTACTGAACGCGAAGACCTTGCACTCAGCTCTTGGCTAACATCCCATTTCCTCATCCCTAGTCTTCCAGTTGATCCCCTTTGGTGGCCCAGTGGTCATGCTGTGCTGGGGACAGGTCAACAGCTCGAGCCCTTCACCCACTCTGGAGGGAAGTGCATGGCGGTCTGCCTCTGTAGATTCACAGCCTCAGAGTCTGCTGGGCCTGACAGGACTGCTAGGAGTCAGATTCAACTCCACAGCAGTGGGGTGGACATTCCAGCCGGCAGCATCTCATTCTGTGCACCACAGCCATTCCTCCAAGGACCAAGGGTCTCAAAGGCGTTCCTCGATGTCCCCTGCGGGATGATCACCAGCAGCTCTTCATCATGCAGCCCACAGGCTCAGGCATGCTGTCCTGGTCCCCATCCTGGCAGGGCAGCCGAGGCTGTGACGATCGGTGTGTCTCACTGAAGCTTGCAGGTGTCTTCACATGTATGGTGCTGACAGTTCGTGAGTGCCCAGTCTGGGCACAGAGAGGACTACTTGCCCACTGGAGAAGATGACCTGAAACCCCCATGTCTGTGTTAGCAAGAACGTCAGGTCCCCAAAAGGGTAGACGTGTGTGTGGTAGCGGAAGGACTCAGCCTGTGCCACCCAGAAAGGTGAAGCCAAGTCCTCATTTCCCATTGTGGTTGCTGTTACTGGGGGCTATTCCGTTATTCCTTGCAAAGGATCCCTGTGACAGAACAAAACTGCCCTGAAAGATTTTCTAGGCTGTCATCTTTGCTAGGCTGCTGTCAGGGACATCAAAGAGCAATGGTGTAAGCTGAAAGACTAGGGTGTGTCTGATTCAGGCCATGGTCTTTCCAGGTACTTGCTATGCATGAACTGCATAATAAAGATGCAGATGGCGGGAGGGGATGGGCAGGGAGAAAAGTGCAACAACGAATGACTGGCGACTCTAAGTCCCTGTAAACTTTCATTAAAACTAATAATAAAAAAAAAATTAAAGGGGAGCTCTGGTGGCCTAGTGACAAGGAGCTGCAACTACAATCCCAGAGGCGTACAGTTCGAATCCACCAGATGCTCTGCAGGGGAAGGAGGGACAATCTCCTCCTGTACCAGTCAGATCCGATTTGATGGTACACTCACACAAAAATAAAATTTTTTAAAAAATTAAATAAATCACTGTACAATGACTAAAAAAAAAAATCAAGATGACAGAAGAATCAGTATCTTTGAGCCGCGGTGTTGGAAAACAGTACTGAGTAGTCCACGGACCTACCGCCCAAAGGAGGAACAGGTCTGTCCTGGAGAAGGTGCAGCAGAGTGCTCCTGGGAAACAAAGATGCCAAGCTTTGTCGCACACACTATGGGCATGTTGCTGGGCGCGGCTATTCCTTGGACAGGGACAGCATGCTTGGAAAGGAGGAAGAGAGGAAGACCCTCAACCCGGTGGACTGACTCCGTGACTGCACGGGGTCCAGTGTGTCACAGATGATGAGGATGGAGCTGGGTATGTGCCATCGAGTCTCCTGTGAGTCACAGGACCCTGTGTACAACAGCCCTAAACCCTGCTCTGTCCTGTGCCAACCGCACCGCCTCGGACACACCCATCCCGATTACCCCAGTCACCGAATCAATCCACCTCATAGAGGGTCTTCCCCTCCTGCACTGTCCCTCCACCCTGCCAAGCACGATGTCCCTCTCCAAGGACCCGTCTGTATGTCAGACGAAGCCCCAGAATCCTTGTCTCCAAGGAGCAGCCCGGTTTAAATCTCTCCAGGGTGAATCTGTTTGTTTTCTTGGCAGTCCAGGGTACATTCAATACTCTTCTCCAGCACCACAGCTCAAAGGCGACAATTCTCCTTCCATTATCTCTGGTCAGTGTCCAGCCCTCTGATGGACAGCACGTGATCGCAACGACCATGGCCGGGGTCAGGCGCACCTTAGTCTCCAGGGTGACAGGTCGCCCCGAGTCAGACTCCACTCAAGGCCCCATGACCACGGCCCTGGCCACTCGGCGGCCTTTGCCGTGGGGATCGCTGACCAGCGTTTCGGCCAGCTGGCTGCTCGGGCGGCGGAAGGCGGGGCCCCGGCCGTCTACCCACCTAGGCGGGCTTTCAGCAGCTGCATGTTGGCCGTCAGGCTGTCCAGCTCCGAGCCGACCCGCCGCCG